GCATAACTGTGAGTCGAACAGCAGGGCAGGTCCTGAAAATAAACAGTAAATAAATTGAGAAGCTAAACGAGTTAAAATGTTTTTGAAGCGAACACAGCAGGATAAACTTAAAGTATATGGACTTTGATGCGATCATCAGCCGGACATTGAGAGCAACAGACAGAGTTTTATGTCACGGGGGGAGCGCCGAGCTCGCTCGAGGTGATAGACGCATGCGCTATATGCGTAACGTGAAAGCTGACTACAGTTGAAAAAAGAGTGCACAAGACACTTAATTTGTTTTAAAATACAGACATTCTGACAAATAAGTAACTGTTTGTAACCTTACTTCAGCTTAGAAGGCAGAGGGTGTCGGTCTTTTCCGCTCAGATTCAGTTCTATTTTGTGTAAGCTCCGCCCTCTAAGGCTATCGCAGATAGCCTTAGAGGGCGGAGCTTACACTCATATAATCTGGGGTTACAATACGTAACCAACACTATCGGAGCATGAAGCTAATGTTTACTTACAATGCTAATGCTACTCTTACTCTCTGGCGCTCAAGAGGTAGAGGAGCCAAATGGCTGGCTCACTGCTGCCAACTAGTGGTTGAACTACAACACAAAAATGAACGGCTGGCAGGAAAGTTGACGTTTTAAACCTTAATAAAAAATCGATACAGGGCTTTAGAATATCGATACAGTATCGGGAAATGAAATATCACGATATTTCAGTGTATCAATATTTTCTTACACCCCTAATGATTACATGACCTGTTCCTAAATCTGTTGGCTCAATTAAATGTGTTCTACTTTCACTTGCGTATCCTGGGGTGTGAGATGTCCCTGTGATTATAAAGGACGCTGTATGCATCCTTCTCATGTCGTGTGATGAACACAGCCATTCGGTTACATTTAGTCATTATATTTTCTACTGGCCTCTGTTTTTATGCATTTTTAGTCGAAAACAACCTGTTCGTGCCGCTTGTTATATTTCAGCTGCTCTTAGGTAGATATGGCAAATGCTCTAAGATAGAAATAAGAACTTTCAAATCATAACAGCTCTGCAAAACAATATTTGAAATGTTGTGGTGAGTCTGCTTGTCTTTTAGGTCAATCGTGAAAAAAAGTAAGTAGGTTTTCTGGACAGTTGTTTCTTTAGTGAAAAGTTTTGTCTCTCCTTCAAGAGACTTCTTCAGTCTGAGGCGTTTCAGGTGAACTCAGCCTTATAAGCAGGCCTGAAAGGTGGCGGGTGAAACAATCTTTCAAAGATTTCTGGGTTTTTAATTTTCCTTTATTTTTTGTGGGATTGGCCTTTAACTGTTTTTGCCTTCTACTGATCACATTCAATAAGAGCATCAAATACTTGACTTTGATGACTTTTGAAAAAATAAATCTTACTTTATTTCTTGACAGTATGAAGCTGAGGTACAGTCATGGATGAAACTGTGGGGTTTTCTCAGTGTCTTCCACTTCATCTGATCAGAATTGATTTTCTTTAGGAATAATTATTTGCCTGGCTTTGGTTTCAGATCAAACTTGTCAACATTCATGCCACTGATATCGCTGATGGCCGGCCATCCATTGTGCTTGGGTTGATATGGACTGTTATCCTGTACTTTCAGGTAAAACTTTATCTGATCCCCAAAATAGTTTAATAATTCCAAGGTTTATTTCATGTCCTAAAGACTGTTTTTATTTAATTATTTTTCTTTTAAACTGTCTTTGTTTCCTAACAGATTGAGGAATTAACCAGCAACTTGCAAGCCCTACAGGCGTTATCCAGTAGCAACTCTTCTGTGGAGAGTTTTGCCAGCTCTGGAGCAGGAAGCCCCCCCATGAAGAGGAAAGTGGTCAACAAGTTTCAAGGCAATGCCAAGAAGGCTTTGCTCAGTTGGGTGCAGTGCACAGCAGCCAAGTACGTTACAATAAAATCACTTTCTTTTAGAAAGAACTTCTTACAAATTAATGAGAATTTTTTGTGTTGCATCTTGTTGTGCATCTTTTATACAATAAAGAATACAACAAAATGTGGAGTTCAGTCAAAATTAGTGAGTTATAACTTTTTGTAACAGTACTGAAAAAAAAACAGTACTGAAGGAAATTATATGTATTATTAACAGAATTTTAGATACAGTATTATATTCTACACTGTGATCAAACTGAGAGAGAGTTAGGTCTTTATCAATGTGTCCCACTCATAGATTTAAATATCACTAGACTGAGCCTCGCCCATACCGTACACAGGTAGCCTCTGTGACAGCATGGAGGAGCAAAAATGGCATCTAAAAGGACAACAGCTCACAGCCTCCATACAAACTAATAGATAAACAGCTGAACTGGATCTGTTTCACAGATTATCTGTCATGTTTTTACAATAAATTAAT